GGGGGGGGGGGGAGAGAAACATGTTTTGGGAGTGTCATTGCTTTGAAGGTAGATGCCCTGTTTCCCGCATGTCTTCATTCACAAGGTGGATTTCAGGCCGTAGGTTCAAAGACAGAAAACCCCAAACCGGTGCCCACGTGCCAGCAGCTCTGGAGCATGAAAGGGGTTTTGAGATGGTGTTTGACTACAAATACCAGCACGCCTCACCACTGACCATGGTGCTGGGGGCTTATCCGAATTGCCATCCATCAAGCTCTTGAAGGGGACTTCGATGCCTGCCTCCATCCTAGAGCATAGTTGGGGAACATTTCCACATTAGCACTATGACTCCCAGAATCCCCCCCCCCCATGGCCATGCTGACTGGGGGAATCTAGGGCACTGTAGTCCAAAACAGCAACCTTGGCAAACTGCCACACAGCGTGCTTCTCTTTGGCTCTGTTCTTGCCAGCCGGGGAAGGGGGGGGGGAAACTGGTGTGGCCAGCAGCTTCCCCTGGCTGACCCACGGCAAGGGATGGGCCGTCCCTAGTCATTTTGCTGCCTGAAGTGAGGAACAGGATGGCAGTGGCCCCCCGCAAACTGAAAGACCTGCAGGCTTTCCCTCCTGTCATCACCTGATTATTTTTCCCATTTTGAACTATATTATTACTGTTGTTTTTTATTATATATACTTTTTATCTATTATTGTAAGCCATCCAGAGTAAACTTCGGTCTAGATGGGTGGGGAATAAATTTAATAAAAAAAAAAATTATAAATAAAATCCATAGCCATTTCTACGTGGCTAGGAATGCCACTTATAAATTGTTGATAAACATGGCAGTAGGATTTTGGAGTAAACTGCAAGGGGTAGGAATAGATTTACAAACACACGTCCTTCACGACATCCTTCACGACTGGGCCTTTTCTACAATGAGTGGCTGAATCATCCCGTGTACTGGTGGCCTTATCTTTTTTCCCTCATGCTAATTGTGCCAACATAGATCTGCACAGATTATGCCCACAACACTCCACCAACTGTCCCTGAAGAATTGGGAACCATGATTCGTTGGGACTCAACCCACTAACCCACCTTTCTGTCATACAGCTCCCCACCCATGAACTTCTGACTCGAGGAGAGAACAAAATAAGCAAGCAAATGCTGTGTGGTTGGAATTCTTTGATTTTTGGAGGCTTCATTGCCTCAGCAAGAATTCAGACATTTTAGATGCCACTGTGGCAGAGGGGAGGAAAAGAAGCTCACAAAAAAGCAGCACAGTCTGCTATAAATAATTTTATTAACAATAATCATACTTTGTAGCTATATATAAATCTATATATATATATAATATTAACACAAAAACAAAGCATACAGCAGCAACTAAAGTATCTAGGGCAGGAACAAGTGCCCTAAGGAAAATCCCAAAGCCAGTGTCAAAGAAACAGAGGCTGGAAAGAAGAGGGAAGGGATGAGAGACCCTTCACCCCATAATGGAATGGAGGGACGTGTAGTGGTTTGTGAGGGGCAGTGAGGTTACTATAGGCTAGGAACGCCCCTAAGACTATATGGGGAAGAACAGCCCTTGTGTTTGTGCCTACCCAACTCACGTATTTACTCCGTATCACAGAACGGATTCATTCAGCTTTTTCAAAACTGAGGAACAATTGCTTTAGAGTTGAGTGGGAGAAGAGTCTCATTTCCTTCAGAAGGCCATAACATGGCTGAGCAGTTCTGACTGACTGAAACCAGGCACCTTGGCCCGCTTGGTCTGTTCATCAGCTTAGAAGTCAAAACCGATTTTCTTGTTCCACACTAGCCTGTCTTCAAGAAGACAAGCATTTAGGTTTTATGCATTCAGAGGACAAAGAAGTCCTCATAAAATGGCTCTTATGGAAGTGAGCAAACATGCATCCCAAAATAGCTGCCAGCAACCTCCCCCATTTCCTTTGCCTCACAAAAGAGAGGCGTTGACGCCCTGCCAATATTTGAGATGGTAGCTGTAGCACCAGGGCTGGCTCATGCTATTTTGCTTCCATGATGTGAAGAACAAGATGGCGTCCTCTCCCAGGTTCCACCTACAGATGCAGACGGGATGGCTACTTGAATTCAATGAATTCATTTATTTACCACACGCCAGAAGCTGGTTGGGGGAACAGGATTGGCAGTGTGGGATAGACAACTCTGAGTTGCCCTTGAAAACATTTTCCCCATCAGTACATTTGTATCAAAGAAATGAAGAGATGATGGAGGAGGTTGGCAGGCTGCAGAGTTCACTGCTGTACTCATTGAATATGGAAACCCTTTTCCTATCAAGAGAAGGGCATTCCAATCCTTTGGATTATTTGGGGGGGGGGGTAGAGAAAAGAGATGGTCTTCCTATTTCTCCCCCTCATAACCTACAAAACTGGTAGTCAAACTGGGGCAGTATATATTATGTGTATGCACTACAGACTGCACCCCACAAAGGCTGCAACTGGGTACTTTGGCGTCACTGTGAGGAAAACCTTTCAGATAGGGTATTTGGTAGCCAGTAGAGCCATGTCCTTTTCGCAACGGTTGACCCACTCCTGGTAGAGGTGGCAAATTCTGTAGCCAAAGAGCTTCATGAGGAAGGCGCTGTCAAGCCCTGGTGGCTCCGCTGGCGTTATTGGCCCGAGCCCAATGCCCATCAAGTTCATGATGATCTTAAGGTTGTTCACCAGTCCGAGACATTGCATGCGTGCAATCTCGAGCTGGCGCTGCAGCTCTTCGGCCTGAGGGCTCAGCTCCATCTGCTGGCATCTGACAGCTGCCAGGTAGCCTGGCAAGTTGGAGAAAGCCGCCGTGTTGGCTTGCAGCCGCTCAGCGTCGCTGAGGTCCAGCCAGGCTGCAGGAGGCAGGGTGGGCAACGGCAGCCCCGGGAAGGGCACAGGGGGAGGGTTAAAATTGGGATCCCCAAACGGCTCCTCCTGGTGAAATACCTAGAAGGACAAAACAAAACAGAAATATAGGAGTCAGTCAGAGCTGTGAGGCCTTCTTTTGACATGGCCACCCCACCCTTCCTCCAAGGAAATTTGTGTGGGTGGTGCTGACTGCATGAGCCAAACATATTGTCTCTTTACAACAAGCCCTGGAGAGCTTTTTGTCTGAGGTTCAACTGAGATGTCACAGCTGCTGCAAAGTCAAAGAGGGTGGGAAATATATGGACCTTCAAATGCTCTCAGACTGCAGTTCCCATCTGCTCTTGCCAAGGCAGTCGTTTGTGATGAATGATGGGAGTTGCAGTGCAATGACCTTTGAGGTCTGGGAAATAAAGAATCCAGTAAATCATAAAAGTAATGAAAGTATGCAAACTAGTGCTTTGCACAGACCTGTTTTATGCTGCTGCATGCTTTGCAACAGTAGATTAAAGTAGATTACAATATAACAGAGGGACAGGCCTGCCTGCCTGCCTGCCTGCCTTCAGCATTCACAGGCCTTCCTATATCACAGGATCTCAGGGCAGGGTTATATAGCTATCTAAAACAATTAAAAACACACAATCTTTAAAGGAATATAACATTAAACAGTTTAAAACACAAAATTAAAACATTCACTTCCATATGCCCAAATAATTAATTGGAGAGAACAACCTGCTTCATCTCCAGGTTCATGAGGACTAGAATCTCCTCTGTCGCCACAGGTTTGCCTAACTAGTTCTGTGGGCTGATATCCCAGGATATCTATGACTTACTACACCACCCACCCCTAGCTCTCACAAATATATTGCAAACGCACGCACATACACACATACACGCTCTTCCCTTAAACTCTGTCTCTTGAAGGACTCACATAGTCCGACAGCAGCTGTTCTGATCCATCTTGCATGAGGATTGTCAGGTTGTGCGTTGCTTGGATCTTGTGTGCTATTTCTTGCTGCGGCTGGGAGGACGAGAGGCGTTTCGATAAATCCACTGCAGACAGAAATGGCCTAAAGGTTAAGGACACGAACATACTTCTGGATATGCTTACAACCAGACACAAACTCCTCCCAATTTGCTTGTTTGCTTTTGTGAGCTAAAGGACTTTCTGAGGACTTTTGTGGGAAGAGAGGTAGAAAAAAAGAGGGGGAGAAAGGAAAGATAACAAGCTGAAATCAAGTATTACCAGCACTCTAGGGTAAGGTAACAGAACTCTACCAGATCTTAAAGAACTCTGTAACTAGTGCTGGCACTGAAGGAGCCCTTGGGTTTCTCAAGAGAAAGATGGCTGTAATTTACCCTTCAGCATCCACCCTATTATAATGGGGAATTGATATCATGGCCTTCCGAGGACTGGCAGCAGGTTCCTCATAAGTTGCCCACTTCTAACATAATTACCCGTTCTGACATGTGGGGAAGTTTCTCTGGGAAGATGGGTCCTGCAGTGCAACGCACCTTCTGAATGGTTTTTAAATAATGTTTTAAATATTTTTTTTTAAAAATGGCCAGAATTCTGATTTACGTTTGTGGAGGTTCAACTGTGTATCAAAAAGGGGCAAAATTCCTCTGCTAAGGCATTATACAGTACTTGGTCACATTATGAGGCACACACCTGAATACACAGTAGACACACACTTACTAATATGACCAGTACCTTGTTAGTGAATGTAGGTTTGCTGTGGCGAGTTACACCAAGCATACATCAATCATAAACTAGATTTTGGCTAATGCTTTTAATAATTTTAATCAGTCTTCAGCAAATTCTACAAACCCTAGTTTTGCACCCCCGCCCAAAAGCATGACACACATCCAACCAAGATGACTTGTCTACACTCTATGATGCATCTTGGTTGCATACACTCCAAAGTTTTGCAAAAACAAGAGCAAGCCATGCCTTTACAGACACTGAAAACATCATCATTCAATGTGTGAGCTTTCACGGATCATCAGGACCACTTTGTCAGACATGTACCAGTGTGAAGAATTTCAATGTCCAAAAATTCATAGTTTCTACTCTTGCATCGTGAGCTTTCACGGATCATCAGGACCACTTCGTCAGACATGTACCAGTGTAAAGAACTTCAACGTCCAAAAATTCATAGCGTCTACTCTTGCATAGAGTCCATAGTCAAAGCCCATAGTCAAAGCTATGGTTTTTCCAGTAGTGATGTATAGAAGTGACAGCTGGACCCTAAAGAAGGCTGACCGCTGAAGAATTGATGCTTTTGACTTGTGGTGCTGGAGGAGACTCTTGAGAATCCCCTGGACTGCAAGGAGAACAAATCTATCAATTCTAAAGGAAATCAACCCTGAGTGCTCACTGGAAGGACAGATCCTGAAGCTGAGGCTCCAATCCTTTGGCCATCTCATGATAGCCTGCCTGAAGTAGACTGCCTGGAAAAGACCCTGATATTGGGAAAGTGTGAAGGCAAGGGCAGAAGGAGACGACAGAGGACAAGATGGTTGGACAGTGTCATTGAAGCTACCAACATGAATTTGACCCAACTCCGGGAGGCAGTGGAAGACAGGAAGGCCTGGTGTGCTCTGGTCCATGGGGTCACAAAGAGTCGGACATGACTTAACAACTAAACAACAACAACAACTCTTGCATTTGTAGTTTGTACTGACCACACAGCTCCCTTTTGTTCCAAAGTGTTGTGGTTCTACTGTGTCACAGACTTTGAGTTCTGTTTTGCCAAGCCCAGGAAGCACCCCAAAACTAACACACTTCTCAAAACTGAACAAAAGACACCAATCTTGCATCTTTGCAGAACCCAGATCAAAGATTTTTGTTGCTTGCTTCGTGCCTCAGAGCACAGTGTTCCTACTGTCAACTTTTAGTTTGTAATGACATAGTCAGGCGAGGTCAGCTGGGCGTTAAACAGCTCCCTTGAGGCTGCCTGTGAGGTCTTTCACTCAATAAAACAACCCAACTGTTTAAGGACAGCAGGAGTTGCTGAGCAAAAGCCAAGGAGCAAAAACTGCTCTAAATGCACCTGTCTTAAAAATATTTAAAGATTTGTATTGCTATTCAGTTAGCAAGCTTTCAAAGGCATAAAACAAAATCAGAGAAAAGCGGAAATACAGGGCGTTTTATTGACTGCTTTATAAATAAGGAGGAAAAGTATGTCTGAGGGAGAGAGACATTATAAAAAGCCTGTGATTAGAATGGAAAGTGTGCCAATCTTGTTGAGACTTGATTTGGACTTTCGTGCTTAAGAAACCGAAAGAATTGTGCTTAACAATGGAAGACCAACCACAGAACAAATTAATCTGCATATTATATGAAGTGAGAAAGGCTCCTGCTCTGTACTCAGATGCTTCCAGCAGTTAAGGAATTTCATCTTCCACTGGCCACTTATGTATAATGTCTACGCACACTACAAAAACATAAGTTGGATTGAAGAGGAACAAATCTCTCTATATATTCAGAAATGATTTCTCATAAAAGTACATCTGTTTGTACCATGGCCTTCAGTCCCCTGCTCCTTGAACTGTATATTACTAGGTACACCTATGGCCTTCAGGGCATAATTGATATTTATTTTGTACTTTGGTGCATGCACCAAAGCAAAGCACTTTTAAAACTAGCTTGTTCTGCAAAGCTGCTGTAAGGTTTAATGATAACTTACAAAGTGTTTTGAGCATTCTCACACAGAATTGAGATACAGAGATATAGCAGTATCAGCACCTCCCCTCTCTCTCCAATTTTTCAACCATATTCACTGGGCCATGAGTTCACAAGGGGAGGTGGCCTTTCAGATGAGGTTGCAGTGGAACTCCCCATCATATTTCACCACTGGTTATGTTACGGAGGGTCCACGGGAGATGCAACCACATCAACTGAAGAAGACCATGGCATTCCCCACATTCACCATTTCCTTGGAAGATCAATTAATCATCGCATGTCACAGAAGCTGAGTGGCTCCCTTCACTCACAAAGCACCCCCCAACCACTGAAGCAGTCTGCATACACCGTTATAACTAGCACATAAGGTTTCTTCAGCCTCTTAATCCTCCTAGGAATTTCCTCTTCCACACCCTCTTCAGTTCATTCAACATGATTTCCTTCAGTTGATGTGGTTGGCCTCCACCCTCCACCGTACATGACACTTTGAACATGAAACAAGAGGTGGGGAAGAAATTTTGTCAGTAGACGGACCTTCATGGGAATATCATGGGCCGGCTTGAGCTACTGGAATTTGAGAGCGATTTAAAGCTCTGTCTTTGACTCTTGCAGAAATAACCAAGGTCTGGTGGTTCAGGATGGCAGGATCCTTGTTTATGAGCGTCTATGCTGCAGACACTTATTCACTCCAGCCTAGTTTACCCTGACCTATGATAGATCCCCTGGAGGTTTCATGTTTCCATGGGAAAGCTCAAGACAATTGAGGTGATCAAAGGATCATCGGATCATCTTCTCTAGCAGAAAAGGTTGAAGAATTGATGGTGGTGGTGGCATTTAACAGGGGAGAGGCGGTATAACAAAGGCTTAACCAAGCTATGAAAGTTATTGGAGAAGATAGGGAAACAATTCACTAGAAGGCAGGATCGTCTAATGCAGTGGTTCTTAACCTTGAGTTACTTTGGGTGTTTTTGAACTGCAACTCCCCGAAGCCCCAGCTAGCAAAGCTGGTGGTGAAGGGTTCTGGGAGCTGCAGTCCAAAAACACCTGAGTAACAAAGGTTAAGAACCAGTGGAACGCAGTGGTTCTTAACCTTGGGTTACTTGGATGTTTTTGAACTGCAACTCCCCAAAACCCTAGCTAGCACAGCTGGTGGTGAAGGGTTCTGGGAGTTGCAGTCCAAAAACACCTGAGTAACCCAAGGTTAAGAACCAGTGGTCTAATGAAACTAATGTGCAGCAGACGACAGAACAGAAAACCTGTATCATCAAACCTATTGCTGGTTTGTATTCCATGACAACCATGTAGAGCAGATTCGGGAGCAGTAAATCAGATGCTGGAGGACAGGTAAGAAACAGAACTTATTAGCTAGCTATATTGAGAAGCATGGGTTGTGGCAGCCCAGCATCGGAGACAGAAGAGCTCTTCCATGTTACCAGCTGTGATCCTTTATTTGGAAATGTCAAACATCCTAGACTGCAGTTCTAAGTGAAGGGTACACAAACTCTTTTTAATCTCCAGGAAGGGAAGAGTCTTTTCAAATTCCCAGTTAATCTTTAACTCTAGCCTCAAGTGCCAAATAGGGAAATACATGCAATAAAGATATTTTCATTCATAGCTTGTGCGGGAGGTGAGGGTGGGGTGGAGAATTGGTAAAAACGGAATACCAACTTTTATGAAGGATCAAAATAAGTCAAAAGAGATGGGCAGAAGCAGCTTAACTTTTTACTGCCCGGTTTGGAAATGGGCCCAGTTGGACAAGTCAGTGGTGGATGGGAGTTTGATTCCTGACTATGCCTCCTGGGAGAAGCGCCAGCCCATGTAACCTTGGGCAAGCTGCACATTCCCAGAATAAGGGAATGTTAAACCACTTCTGTGTATTGTCTACTTGGAAAACCCTGGAAAGGGTCGCCATCAGTTGGGATCGACTTGACAGCATGCATTTATTGTTACTGTTATGGGTGAGCAATATCTATACCATATTTTTCCATGTATAAGACTATACTTTTGTCTAAAATCTTTAGACTAAAAATTGAGGGTCGTCTTATACACGGAAGTGAGCTGAGGAGAAAGAAAAACAAGTGGAGGGGAAGCAGGGATCAAAGTGATCCTGCAGGGCTTTGATCCCTTTCCCCCTACACTTGCTAAGCCCCACTTAGATTTCTTAATTTTCGGTTAGAAAAGTGGGGGGCGACTTATACATGGGGGCATCTTATACACAGAAAAATATAGTACACACATTCTCTCAGAGCAGGGTTCAACGCTCCCAGAGGGTGTCTACTAGAAGACAGACGCCAAGAGCGATGGGACTCTTGCACCTTTAACAGTCAGGGTAGGAACAGGAGTTTCAGTTCATTAAAGGTGCACAAAACCCTGTCTTTTTGGGCATCCCATTAGTTAATATCCACACGGCCCCATCTCCCTCAGTTAGTTTCCAAGCCATTCCAAGGCTAATTGTCTGCGCCTTAGCAACTGGGAGAAAGGAAAGCTCTTATATGCTGTGTGTTTGAAAAGCTGCCTGTCTCATTTCAGGCTGTTTGGAGACCGGCAATGCGATATAGAGGCATGCAAGCCAACAATGGTTTATGTAGCTTATTGGGACTAATCAAACATTACAAGACTTTGGAAAGGTTATGTGGCACCATTTACAATGAATGGTTGATTCGACTAAACCTCATGCTATACCCCAACCAACTCAGGCCACCCCATGCTTGCCCTAGGCTTCTGTCTGTCCCCATGGAGACCTAGCAAGATTTATTTAACCACATTTTGAAATGAACCTTCTGCCCTTTCCCCTAACACAAGCGGTGCATTAAAGGCTGGCTTGCAGAATGCACCAAGCTGAATGCCACCGATGCAGCCATGTGTGCTGCCGGCTGAATAAACTCTCCTATATTTGCTTCACAGGCCGGTGGAAGAAACTTCAAAGCATTTGCCAGGCTTTTCACACCTGACTGGTCAGTGAATGGTCTGGACTGTAGGTGGCACTGATCTATGAGGAAAACACACTATTTTTTATTCACAACTCCAGAGATTTTGAGGGAGAGGGTATATGAATGTTCTCCCTGCTCCCTCCCCCACGCCTTTTTTCCTCACACAACAATCCTCTGAAATGGAATAGAGTTTATTTAAAAAAATAAGATTATTCCATAAGTGGCACCAGTGTACAGGGAACTGAACTGAGTTCTCTGAAGCAGTACTTATCCGGAAGTCTATCCATGAAAGCCCCAACTGTCCAGAAATACCATCACTTCAAGCATTCTTTAAGAATTTTCTTTTCACCTCAGGAATATACCTTTCTGCACCTCTCCTACGCAACTATTCCTGTGCTGGGTTGCCAACTAACCAAAAGACAATGCAAATATGCTGCTCTGTCTTTAACACAAAGCTCGTCTGCAGAATTCTGCTACTGAAGACATAGGAGCAAGACTCAGTTAATAATACAGTATTGACAACTGCACGCCTTCTGGGCACACATTTTATGTCAATTAACACAGGATAGAGTCCTCTTTGTGCATACGAATTGCATTCATTCCAACTCAGCGGTACAACAGGGATCAGAGTTCCAAATAAGGAGTGAACGGGTCATGGAATAATTCTGATAACCAATAATGGAACATTATTACAGGTTGTCCGGCTGGGGGAATTTACAGTGTGAAGTTTAACCTCTCAGGGATATCTACTGTAAATGATTTTAATTACTGTACACTTTCCCCATTGAGTTGAAGAGCTACTACTATCTTATCTCGCCATTATTCTTAACAAAAACCCTGAAAAGCAGGCCTAAGGTCTAGATTTATTAATGCTATGAAGCCTGGGTCTCTTATGTCAATTATTTAAAGTGTGAATAAGAATCGGGCAACCCGATCCTCCTGCAAACTCAGCAACAAACATCTGCTTTTTTCCCCTTATCTGCTGCCTACACATCAGTTATTGCTTCAAATCCATGGGTCAATGATCAGCCTGTAAGAGAACTTCTGATTATACCAAGAAGGGTGGAAGAAGACAGACGAGGACCATTTTTTCAAACAGTGCATCTATCACTTTTCACAACTGCAGAAGATTCAGCCAGTAAACTGGTTTCCACTCCTACCTCGTCTCTGGCTTCACAGACTCAACCACTACCTATTAATTATACTCCTACCATTAAAAAAAGGCAGAGTAACTCTTCATCCAAGCTACAAAGAGCCTCCCATGGGGAGGGGGGGGGAACCCAACCTCAAAAATTATACAGAAGAAATCACATTTCGGAAAAACTGCTTGCCTGAGAATTTAACACTTTTTCCTTCCCAGCATAAGTTCTTGGGCAAACTCCGTCAGAGGTGCCCCTGAGGCAGCCTTTCTCTCTCTCTCTCTCTGACCTACCTCGCAGGGCTGTTGTCAGAGAAAGAAAGAAAGAAAAAAAAGCACCAGAGAGTTTTGGGAGCCGCTTAGAGCGCGCGCTGGAGGCAAGGCGTGGTATAAACGTTGCTAAGACATAAAACCAGCAAACATTCCCCGCACGTGCCCTCGGCTCAAGGGAGCAACTCCTGGTTCCTTTTTTTTTCTTTTCCCCCCGAGCAACAGAAGCCAGCCCTGACCCATGCAAGGGGTTTTTCCACGAGGTCAACGTTCTTCCTCCTCGACCTGCCATTAAAGGCACAGGAGCCGAGGCCACTCGAAGGCGTTGGCAAACCTTCCCTCCCTCCCTCCCTCCCCGACTCCCAACTCTTTTGCAAACTTTGCACGGAATTTCAGACCCGCAACCACATAGGATTCGGAGGGGAAAGAGTGGATCGCGCTCCTTCCCTTCCCCCGCCCCCGCCATCCCATACCTGAAAGCACCTCCATCCTGCTGGACCGGATGATCTCCACTTGTTCCTGGCACCTTCGTCGCCCGCTCCATTTTTATACCGAGCGCTCGCTTTCCCCCACCCACCCCTCTCCACCCGGGGCTCAGCCTCCTCCTCCTCCTCCTCCTCCTATCCCGGGATCGCACGCCAGCCACCCGTGAATTCCAGCCGGCTGAGATCACACATGTCCGGCCGCCCTCGTTCCCGGAAAAAGGAACTTAATCCCCCCCCCTCCATCGCGAAATCTGGCACCGATTTACATGGCTCATCTAAGATGCAGAGGCAAAGAGGGAGGAGGGAGAGCCGGGTGGGGGGAGGCTCGCGTTATTTCCTCCGATCACCCCCCCTTGCTTGAAATGTATGGATGGTACCATTTGCCCCCCCCCCCCCGGGCAGGGAAGCATCCTATGAATGGCACTTAAAAGGCGACGGAGGTATCGTTTTTGTTTGGGCTGGGAGGCGGAGACCCCAGCAGAAGTCTGCCCCGCTTAATTTATTATTTTTTTTGCCATGTATATTTATATATTCCCGCTCTTCTATCTGGGACACTTGGCAAAAGATCAGACAAACCGACTCCCCCCCCCCAGTTAAATAAACCAAGCAAGTTGTCTGTAATGAATTATGTGTGGAAAAATGGACTTGATTCACGAAAGCTCATATTAAAATATAATAGTGCCACATGTTGTTGTTGTTCTCTGCCTTGTTTTGTATTGTGTTTATTTTCCTTTGGATTTTGCCTGATGGGTCCAAAAAGTTAGTAGCTCTGTTGTAGGGGGGAAAAAAATCAAAACCTTTCAAGACTGGAATTTCTTACTTTAAAGATTACTCCCTTTCTGAGTGGTGGGGATTTATGCATCAGCTGCACAAAATATTCTCCGGAATTTCGGGTATACAAACTCTATACATGTTAAGTGGGGGGGAGGGGGAATTATTATTTGTTTTATATTTTAAATGGTTTATTTTATATGTTGTTAGCCGCCCAGAGTAGTCAGTTGACTAAATGGGCGGGGTACTAACTAACTAACTAACTAACTAACTAACTAAATAAATAAATAAATAAAGAGCAGTTGAAAAGTAGATACGTATTTGTTTAAAAATGGTGAACAGATGGAGGGGGAATGATTAATTACATTTATATCCCATTTTTCCTCCAGTGAGTTCTAAGTGGTGTACATGGCTTTATGCCTTACAACAGCCCTGTGAGTGACTCTGGGCAGTTTACAAAAGTAACAACAACAACAACAACAACAACAACAACAACAACAACAACAACAAAGAACACAAATGTAATCAAAGTGAAAATTAAAATAGTTAATACGACATTTAAAAAACAGCAACAATTAAATATAATAAGCTGGTACTCTCAGCGACTATTCACATCGCATGTTTTGGAAAGCATACCAAACTTTAAAAAATATATTTTTTGACATTTTTCTTGAAGGTCCCCAGAGAGGTCAGGCAGATTTCAGGTGGTAGCTTGTCCCAAAGTTGAGAAGTGACTGCCAAGAAGAGGCTACCTTGTTTTCTCCCTCTGAGCCTCCGTTGGGATTAATGCCCTCACCTGTCCAGCCTGCAATGTGCAGGTACAATGGACCATCCATGGTGGAAGTAGGCATTCTGCCATGTACTGAAGTCCCAAACTGTTTAGGACAAATCCAGTACCTTGAAGCTGAAGCTCTCACCTAGTCAGGGTCATGCCTTCTTGGGGATTAGAACCTGAACCTCCAAAGTCTTAGCCCAATAGTCTGCTACACCGCACTGTCTTTTCACACCTTAAAGACTAACACTGATATCAGAGCATCGCCTCGGGGTGGCTAATCCGCTTCATCAAATGAATGAACTTCAGTCAGAAACAAATTGGGATATAATGTGTGAAACTTTGACCTTGTCCAACCTTATTTCGTTGGAAGTCCACTCAAAGCAAATTGGTGGTACCTGCTGACTTCCAACAAAAGAAGGCTGGACAAGGTCACAGTTCCAAACATACCTCTTCAGATGTAAGTCCACTGTAAGGAATTTTCACTTGACCTTGCAAGTTATGGACAGCTTTGAATATTATTTGCTGCAAATGCAACCATCTGATTAAATAACTGATTAACAGGTAGATGATTAATCTACCAGTAATAATATTTTTTGGCTCACAGCGCTCATAATTCATTTTTGGAGTAGCCTTGGAATCATTATGAGTTAGAAAAATCCTGCATGAGCTATATTTAGATCATTCTCCCAAATTCTTGTTCCTTCCAGATGGATTTTCCCTGATGACGATTATTGTGTATATCAGAAGCCCAAATACCCTGACACCCCAACCCCCACAGAGATTAATATCAGAGACAAAAGGAAGCATTTCTTTCCTGGTCAAATAATCAATGTCTGGTCAAATAATCAATGTCTAGAATTAACTGCCCAGACACTTGTCCATACTTGTAAAGCTAACTAGAACACTTCCTCAAGGTTCCCCCTGTTTAAACGCTGAAGAGCAGCCGGCTACCTTCCTGAAATAAAGCTTAATTACTTTTTCATAGCCAATCCGAATGTTGACCAAGCAGTTTTGTCACTATGTTATCACAGATAACACAAGGGCATATGTAAATATATATATATAGAAGTTGAATGACATGGGTTATTGCATCTGTGAAGTCTAACTAGTACAGTAATAGGTCAGTCACGTCAATTCTGACTTGCGGTGAGCCTTTTCAAGGTTTTCTAGGCAATGAGTACTGTATTTAGAAGTGGTTTACCACTTACTTTCTTCTGGGGGGTACCCTGGGACTGCGCAGCTTGCCCAAGGCCACACAGGCTGGATCTACTCGCAGGAGGCAGAGTGTGGAATTGAATTCCCAGCCTTTGGTTCCCACCTAAACCACTGACCGATCCAGACAGTTAATAATTGTGCACTGTTGAGTCAATTCTGACTTATGGTGCCCGTTTTCAGCGTTTTCCAGGTAGTCAATTCTGACTTATGGTGGCCGTTTTCAGCGTTTTCCAGGTAAGGAATACGCAGAAGTGGCTACCATGCCCTTCCTCTGGAGGGGTTCCTGGGACTGTGCAGCTTGCCCAAGGCTACATAGACTGTCTCTATTTCACAGGAGGTACAGTGAGGAATCGAGCTCCCAACCTCCGGTTCTGCAGCCAGATACCTAAACCATTGAGTAAAGAGACCAAAAGTTTGAAGCCAGGAGCCGTACCTAAACCATCGAGCTATCCAGCCAGCTCTTACTAGTAAAGAGACCAAAGATTGAAGCCAGGAGCCAGGGGCTTTGGGAGGCCAAGAAATGGCGTAAGGGGGCTGCCATAAAAGAAAGTAACTTGCTATTCTGCTGAGGCGTAAGGGGGCTGCCATAAAAGAAAGTACTGTAACTTGCTATTCTGCTGGTTGTTTTCCTTAAGGAAACTGGCTGCATGGCTGGGGTTTCCCCGTCTTACGTTTACAAAGGGCTTTGCCTGCAGCAAAGAATGGAAAATTATACAGTAGTCTCAGCGGAAAGACGAGGGAGGGGACTTGTGAGTTGCAGGGTGGCCTGGCAGAGGCAGGATGCTCACACTGTCTTTGAGGTCACTAGTAGGGTGTAGGCATCCTGTTCAAAGTGAGACTTTTGTTTGCTCGCATTCATTACATTTGAAAAAAAAAAGACAAAACACTATTCCTCTACAGTAGGAGAGAAACTGCAACTCCAGTTAGCTCTGGCGAACGTAGACGTATTGGACTGGAAACCTGCCAAAGACCAAAGAAACATGTACGTAGGCACTATTGCGGGAGCCATTGGCATAAAAAGAAACTACAGGTCACATCCTGGACTTACACACCTGTCGTTCTAAGAGTAAATGGTCTGATCAAGCTGGCAACCTGCTGACCTGATAAGAGACGGAGCTTTTGGTCACTTGGCATGTAACAGGTTACTTCTCCCTGTGAGTATTGTCTTCCATTCCTTGCTAGTTTCGATGCAGGGAAGCAAGGCTACAAACACTCTACGGAAGGCCAGCTCATGGTAGCTTCTACATAGTGGGAAAAAGGGCTGGACCACCAGTGGGACATCTGGGCTTGGAACCCACCCATCTGGATTCAGGGACTCTTCTCAACATATAAGGGTATTTTCATGTTTCTTTTTTGCTGTATTCTATATATCGCTGCATCTGCGTCAACCATTGATAGACAATACAGTACCTGCTAAGGCACTAATGGCTTTACATCTTCATCAGCATGCAAAGAACATAACCGTATCAGAATTCTCTGGCTGGTCCAAACCTGCTAATTTGGGGAGGGAAGGAAAGACTGGCTGCAACATTAGGCAGAGTGAGACAGCTGCCTTAGGTAGCTGATTTACAGTGTCATCAATGAGTAAAGAACATATAGTTAATTTTTAAATTTTACAGTATTTATTTATTTATTTATTTGATTTTTACCCCGCCCCTCTAGACCATGTCTACTATGCTTGTGTTTTATTGCCAGGAACAAGCAGAGGCACCACCAGGATTTTTCTTTTTTACTTATCGGCCACTGCTGGCTGTAGTATTTTGGGAAATATAATGTAAAAAAAGACAACATCAAACATTTCCTTTTGACTAGGCTTCCCGAGTGCTCACTGGACGGACAGATCCTGAAGCTGAGGCTCCAATACTTTGGCCATCTCCTGAGAAGAGAAGACTCCCTGGATAAGACCCTAATGTTGGGAAAGTGTGAAGGCAAGAGGAGAAGGGGACGACAGAGGATGAGATGGATGGACAATGTTATCGAAGCGACCAACATGAATTTGACCCATATCCGGGAGGCAGTGGAAGACAGGAAGGCCTGGCGCGCTCTGGTCCATGGGGTCACGAAGAGTTGGACAATACCAACAACGACAATACCAGACAATGACAATACCAGAGAATGGCTTCAAGATGTATGATAAAGTCCTGTGGCTGAAGCTAAGGAAGTCAGCCCTGTAATACTAGGATAAAGAGATGGGACCTTCTGAGGAACTCAGAAATTACAGGACATAAAGGCTTTTTTTATATATACAGATTGAAGCCTCTTGTTTTTGTTCAAGTACAATTATATTCATTTTAAAAATCAAGAAAATCAGTTGCGCCTTTTCAGAATGTAAAAGTGAGGTCTAGATGTAAATGTGAAAAAATGGGATCTGCAGCAACGGCTACCGTGTATCCATCTCCTAAAGATGTGTTCCCATTCACAGTCTATGCCATCCAAGCATGCTGTCCTGCAGGATCCTATAGTATAAGCAGTAGAGATTTAGCAGAGATAGCAAGATCACTTTCCGAACTCCCAGAATATTCCAGGCACCGTGATCAGTAGGTCTGTCATTTCTGATATAAGGTGGACATGTAACCACAGATCTTTCAGTGTGATGCCACCTCAAAAATAAATACACGCTTGGACTCATTTTGGACAGACCCATTAAACACTCTCATTAAGGCCCCTTCCTCCGGAAAATACAGTAACGTCCAATCCTTGCATCCAAAGCACGTGGGTTTCCGAAACTCTGACTCACCGGCTCACTCTCCCCACACTCCCCCAAAGCCTTAGCTAGTTGAGATAATGGTGACCCCAAATTAACGCCTCTGACTCACCCCAGAGAACAGTGAGTTCAGTGGACGAACAAGGCAGAACGACTCAGCTTCAATCCCTGGAAAGCTGCTTTTGCAGATTAACTGGGCCTGCCTCATACAGGCTTTGCAAAGCGGGGCGGGTGGAGGAAGGAAGTGTGGGGAGAGAAATGCATTCATCTGTCGGCGAAACAGGTGCTTCATTGTAAAAAAAATAAAATAAAACTGCTTTGTTGCTCTTTTCACGAGGAGGTGCATTCCCCCCCCGCCTCCTGCCCGTCCCTGGCAGAGCCCTCTCATAAGTATTTCAGGCGGCTGTCCTTTCTTCAGCAGCAGGATCTATGTAGCTTTGAATTTAAATAATATTTCCCTGGCTTTATCTTTTTTTTTATCTGCTCTTTCTAACGTGACTGCATTTATTGCTTCCAGAAAACTGCTCTTAGCCATTCTCAGTGGTGTCCGAATGCTGGAAGATCAGGACACAAATCAAACACTTATTTCCCACCAATTTTTGCTGTGTGCTGTCAAGTTGCTTCTGCCTTATAGTGACTTGAACAGGGTTTTTAAGGTGAGATGTTCATGGAGGAGCTGGGATTTGAACCCACTTTCTCGAGTCCTAATGTTGAGGTTTAAAATTTTATTATAAGGAATGTTAAATAATTAAGGGGGTGTTAAAAAAAAGTACCTTGAGAGATGAATTTTGGCATGATTGTTAATGATTGCCTGGTTTCATTCTGGAATCAACTCTTTTGGGGGAATAAATGCCAGCAGTGACGAACGGTGGCTTCTGGTTTTTCCCCTAGAAGTCTACAGAGTTCTTTTGGGCTCTTAGGGAGATGTTCAGAAGTTGGAATCCTTGATTGACCCTCTATCCGGAACACCACACAAGTTCGCTCCAAATATATACAGACCTGCCGAATCAATAAGGTGCATGTAAGTGTATGAATCTGCTCTAGTTAGGACTAACAATTGGAGGTTGTCAACGTTCTTTATAAATTAACAAATATTATTTCACGATCCCCTTAAAATAATACCAATGAACCGGAGCTTAGAAAAATTATTAGGGAAAAAAATGACATTTCCCCGAAACGGCTATGTTGGGGGGGGCAGGGTGGATTTTGGAAGTCACAGCCAAAACAAAAGTAACAGCTCCAAATTCTGAGATGAAAAATGTAGCATTGTGTTCTACAGAAGAGTTGTGTGAAATGGACGGCTTCCTCTCTTTGTTCTTTGCTTTTTCTTTCTTTTCTTGCACTTCCATCTGCCGGGAGGTCTTTCATTTCTCAAAAGGATATAATTTTCACCTGGAATGTATGGACTTTTCTTCTTTTTGGCTCTCCTAGTCACCAGAGGGCGCTCCCTTAGTTGCAATCCTCCATATTAAAAAAAAACACACACACTACACAACTGAAAGAACTATATTATTTTCTTCCGATGTTGAACCGCCTTTTCCCCTTCTGTTCTTCCCCCACCCTTCCCTTTTTGTCAAACGGAGAACAGGAAAAAGAAGACAAAGAGAAAGGAAGCAGGAGAATGGTAGGGAGACACTTAGCAGGGAGAAAGAATGGATAGGCAGGGGCTGAAATAAAAGAGAAACGGAGAGAGAAAAGGAAAAAAAAATATTGACAGAGCAACGGACAGAGGACGGCTGCTTGATGGAGAAGCAGGCATGGATTGATGGATGGATGACAGAAGTGACGCAGCTGATCTTAGCAGCCCTGTGACTCTTGTGGTCAGCCAGAACAGATAAAGAAGGGCAGAGGAAACAGGGAAAGAAAGAAAGAAAGAAAGAAAGAAAGAAAGAAAGAAAGAAAGAAAGAAAGAAAGAAAGAAAGAAAGAAAGAAAGAGAAAGACATGGGATAAAAGAACAAGACAGCATAAAAAAAGACAGGAGAGTGTTCCAACTTTAGACAGCTGTCCGGTTTGTTCCCTGCTCATTTCATTTGCTGCCATCCAAAGTCATTCCCTGATGTCGGGACGAGCCGTGCGGGCCGAGACAAGGAGCCGGGCAAAAGATGACATCAAAAAAGTGATGGCAGCCATCGAACATGTCCGCAGATGGTGAGGCCCGTGGGAGTGTGTGTGTATCTGTTCATTGGTGACGGTCAAAACAATGTGGGCAGATCTGTGGTTGGTTTATTCCTGCATGGGTTGACGCTTTTGAACTTCCGAAGGATTGGGAGCTGGAGGTAGAGAGTGGATGTGTGTGTCCGAGGGTATGATTCGGGGTATGCACCCCCATCTCTTTCGAATGGCTTGGCAACCATACTTTGAGCAGCGCTTTCAAAATCTCCTCTTTTTTGGAGGGTGGGTGGATTCTGGGAATGGTCATCCAAAAAAATGAACTTTTCAGAGATCTCCTGAAGGGGAGGCCCTCCAAATCAGGCGTTCATACTGTGTAGAGTGTGCAGTTCATTTCATGTGGTTTGGTGAACGTTCACCCAGCGCAAACATTTGGAATAGGCCACATTGCATTCTGATATGTATATTTTATAACTATGCTTCAGTTTTCCCTGTTAGCTTGAGCATGGCGCTGGACGACTGGAGCCTAGGTTGGCTAGCAGGACGTTCCCCGTCCTTTTCTCTTCCTTGAGGATCCTCAGAAAAGTACTTTCCCCCTCTCCTTTTCCTCCATGGCAGTCCAGGTGATCAAAAGATCTGGTTTCTGTTTCAGTGTACCTATGTCGGGGCACCTTTGCCTTATGTGATTTCCCCCCACTCATAGGATTCTAGGAGCCCAAAAAAAGTTGCTTTCCCCAGGTTTATATAAACTTCTCCTGTGCAGACACGCACAGCTCCGTCCTGGCAACACTTGTCTACCAAAATTTGGTCCAGATGCCAAATGTGTTGTGGACTTGGCTGGTGCCATTGCTGAGCTCCACCCAGAGGTAGTTAGAAGCTCTGGATGAAGCTGACTCTGGGACCATCCTGAAAAGAGCAACATCAGGACCTGTTCAGGGGCCATCAGTTTTTGGCTTTGCTTCTCCTGATGCAAGACAGAGGCAGGGGGACGGAAGGCCTGAGCGTGCTGTGGTTTAGAAATGTAGGCACCTAGTTGAGGGTCTGCATGTGATGTGGCTGCAACACTACCAGGTGAGACCTCAAAGAAGGAAATGGTGAATTTGCTGTATCTTTTTAATCTAGGGAAACAAACTCCTAGAAGTTTATAAAGGCCAGGGCAAGTGACACCTTTATTAGACTATTTACTTATTTAGTTGTCTTGCAAAGATATTACCTGCCTTCTCACTGTGTAAGGACCCCACAGCTTTGTTTGTTTGTTTTTTCCTGGAAGTCTGTTTCCAGATCAAAGTATCCAGATCACTCCAAACCCAACTACACCAGAGCACAGAATGCTGTCCTCTGAAGATGCCGGCCACAGAGACTGGCGAAACGTCAGGAAGAACAACCTTCGGAACACGGCCAAAGAGCCCGAAAAACCCACAACAACCATTAGATCCTGGCTGTGAAAGCCTTCGCGAATAGACTAGCCATTGTTTTTAAATATTGCTGTGGCTAAAGGGCTTGAGTGTTCCTCTACAGAAACGTTGGGGCAGAAGCGTATCAACATCTACATAATTTTAATGACACCATCCTTAGAATTCTGTTCCTAAGGGCTGTAATTAGGGCAGGATGTCAAACTTTAGAAAGCCTCATCATCTCTAGAGATGAATCTACTTACTGGGGAGTGATAGGAAAAAATACATCCTTGCCCTACTCACTTTACTTTTTTTGGGGGGGAGGAGTAGTAGTAGAAAAACATTCTTCTCATTTTGCTCTTCCTTTTTTGCTGGTGGGGGTTCACACCCATATTTCAGGGCAGAATGAACTAGACATGGTGCCAAGATTTCTAGTTATGGCTCTGCTATTCATTGTCAGTTTGGTTTTCAGTGGATGCCTGCAGGCTCTGAGGTTTTGCAGCTGGGTCATTGTGGGAAGTTCCCCGGAGTTTCAATAGTTTGTAGGGTTCATCCACAGGAAGTCCCGACTTATCCCATTTGTTATTGTCTGCTTCCTAGGGAAAAGCGGTGGGTGACTGTGGGAGATACATCTCTACGCATCTACAAGTGGGTACCGATTGTGGATCCCCGGGATGAGGTACGAGGGGTGATGGGGTTCTTGCCGTTTCCCCAAAACACTTCCTTCCCTACCGTCTGCCTTTCCTGATTTGCCTCTTCTTTCCCCCCTCTTGAACAGGAGAAGAGGAGACTAGCAGGCAACAGTGATCAGAGGATGAAAGAGAGACGATCTCAGATTCCCAGTCCCCGGAGCAATGCTGCTTTGCTCATGTTGGACCTCAATGGTATATCTTGGAAGGTCGGGGAACAGGAAAGGGAATAAGTGGGCTTTATCTGCTTGCGAATCAGATAAAGCAGATAAAGACTGGGCCTTATCTGCTTGGCAATTGAACTCTTAACATCTGGCTTCGCAGCCAGATACCTAAACCACTGAGTTATTTAGCAGTTCACTGCTCATCCTGAAAGCTGAGCTCCGAAAAGCTGCTTAGAGTGAGGGAGTAGTAATGTTGACTTGTGATTCCGGAAGTGAACAGTTCAGAAAAATAACTTTTCCAAGCACTGACTGAAAGATGTGTTATTGTAAAGGACATTTTCCTTTATGGTGGCCTTTCGTGTCTTCCTCTGAGCGTCAGTTCCTCTGTTTTTTCTCTCTCTCTAGATGAGAACAGTAACCAGAGCTCTCTTTCGGAAACCTCTCTGCTGAAAGGGGGAGACACGAGCCCCAGCCCGACCCCGGACCGCAGCCAGACTGTAACCCCGACTCCCTTAGGAGAGCTGAAGGTGGAGGACTCACAGCCCCCTTTGTTAGGACAGGAAGGAGGTAGGTTCAGTTGTGAAGTGTTTATGTGTGTGTAGGTGAATGGACAGAAGGAAACAGTGGTGCCTAGTCTAGTCATTTCGACCACTCTAGGCGGCTGTGTGTGTAGGTGAATGGACAGATGAAAACAGTGGTGCCTAGCGGTGGGAGCTTCACCCTCCCCTTCTTTTAATCCGCTCTCTCTGATTGTTCTTTTTTCTTCTGGGTGCAGATTCTGGGGGGCTGCTTCTGGAGGGACAAGATGAGCCCCCCATGCTTACCAAAGAAGAACTCAACCCCAAGGCATCAGATCCCCAGGTGAGTTTGCTGGCGATGGAAAGTGGGGCCGATGGTTTCAAAACAAGCCGATTGTGTAATCCTGTACCTACACTGTTCCAGTGGTTGATACGACTATCCTAGCTCCAGGTCTTGAAATCCTGTCAGGGCACAAACTCTTGGAATCCTGGGATTTGTAGTTTAGTGAGGCACGTCGTATCTGCTTCAGGTTGCTACAGAGCTGTTTTGCAGGTAGTTCAAAGCATATCCTCACACTTTGAATCCCAGCATCCTGTAGGACAGAATTGTGGCAGTGAAACCGGTCTCAACATACCGCAACTGCATCATGTCGATCAGCTCTAGATAGCACCAGCTTTTGTGTGGCAGCATTCCATCATGCAAGCAGAACATTTCTCTGAAAGGGTTGGTTTGTCTTATTCAGGTTAGACTCTGTAACGGTTTCTGTCTTGCCCTTCTACAGGTTACATATGCATATGAGCACAACGCATCCAATCTGCATTTTTTAGGATCTTTCTATTCTGTCATGCTTTTGGGAGGAGGGATTTATTTAGTTGGAAGTATTTTATATCAAATAATTATTTTCCTTTATTATCTTTATGCCTTTCTATTCGGGTGAACTGAAAGGTTGAATCGTTTACTGAATTATTCATTGCATGACTTCTTGTTCTGCATTATTGAGGTCCTGGTGTACTTTTGTTATTCGGGTTGATACAGATGCCTTTATTGAAAAAAATTATTTAACGGTTATCACCACAAGGTTCTTGGAGTTCCACTTTGTTATGTGAGCCACGAGAATGTTTAAATATTTAATCTGATTTAACCTAACGTAAAGAAAAGTACCCTGGAACTACCAGTCTAATGTTACTCATTGGTAAACTAGGCAAAGGGTTGGTGCATTGCCTAAACCAGAGCTTGGAAAAGTTACAATTTTTTTAAATATGTGTGACTGGTGGGGTGAGGTGCCCTGCCACGTGTGTGGCCTTTGGAAAACTACATGGCCCCTAACACTACTAGAAGGAAGGGACTGTTAAATCACTCCTGAGTAATTTTATACCTAAAAGCCCTGGGAAGATTGCCTTACATCAGAATCTATGTTATGGCACATAAGGAATTAAATCAATCAGGCTGGCTTCAGAAAGTACCAAGAATATGCAGCCATTGTAGTTGCTCCAATGAGGCTGACATATTGTTGTATGTCCTTTCGTAGACAACCCCAGTGGAGCTTTTTCAGCTGCTCCTGGGCTGCTGCTCTTGCTGCTGAGGCTCATGGGAGGCTTGCCTTCCAGTCTAGAGGGAGCTTCCCTTTCGCCTTCTGACCTCTTGCCCCTATTGCCACGGCACGTGCCTCAAGAAGGCTCCGGAGTTGCAGTGCTGGTGCTCCCTTCCCTCCCTTGCTTCAAATGGCTTAATAGCATTAACTCAACACAGCATTTTACCATAATATTCCTTAGCAAGGCTAAGAGTGTGATCCTGTATATTAGTCTAGTGAGAAGGAATACCTTTTGATATCAGTAGGATTTACTTCCAGATCAGGAAGAGGGAGAAAGAGGGAGAGAGAGAGTGAAAGAGTAAAAGAGAGAGAGAGACTGATGAAAATTTTTGCAGGTCTTTTAAAAAAGCCAAAACCTAATTTTAAATTCAAAATTAACATATTTGATATTCAGAAATTTGAATATATATCTTAGGAATGCGGTCAGATTTCTTCAAGATACAGTTTCAGCTTGAACTTGTTGAGATAAGGAGCACCTCTAGGCTATTCTCACCTTGCTTGCCCTTGTCTTCCAGGTGGTGGAGGCATCGGGTCCAGCAGAGTTCACAAAGGCCCTTGAGGAGTCCCCACCGGAGACAGAAGAGTCATCATCATCTGAGGCTCCCCCACTGAAACGTATCCGCGCTGAGACCCAAGGTTCAGAGTCCAGCCGGCCCTCAGAAGCTTAAGCTCCGGCCTGCTTCTGAACTTCCCACCTCTTTTGATGGGTGTTCGGATGTGCGTGGGGAGGGGGGACCTTACCAAGGAAAAATATATTCACGTCTTGTCAAGCTAAAATATGGTGCAAGCTAACTCACTCACCTGTTCTCTTCTCCAGGAATGGTCACCAATTTCATTATACTTGCTCCCCCTGGTGGGCTTATCATGTAAAACAGTGACTATTGTCAGCAAGTAAACACTGTGGAGTGCTTGCCTGCCCAGAAGGGCTGTGTTTCTTCACAAGCAGCAGTCATGTTAAGACGGTGTGTGAATGACCTACAGTATTAAAAGGAAATGTGGTGGTAGAGGATGGTACACTCAGAGATGTGTGGGAGGAATAGTGATGAAAGAGGAATTTTACAGGGGAAAATTATTAAGTCACAAGGAATTACACTTGAGTGGGAGAGGCAGTGGCCCAATTGTCAGAGGGACAAAGAACAAAAGGGGTGGTTTGAAAACTCATGCCAAGGAAGTCAAATTCTTCCCAGGTTTCATCTCGTAACCTCGCTCTGGGAGCGAAAGGATATGCAACGGTTTAAAAGCTCCAAGCCCTCATGTAAGTCTGCATCTACCTAAGTCCAAATGTTGTCATCTGGAAACTCGCATTCTGCAAAGACATCCAAATATGCACATTAAGCGTATTTTGCTTGGTTTTGCATAACTGTATTGTTTCTTTGATTTAGAGGAGATCATGGAGATGTTCCGGAGGATTTTTTTCCCAGAAATGTGAGAACGAGAAAGCTATTGTTTAAAAATAACCAAACTCAGTGTCTTGTGATGTAAATCTCACACTCGGCTGCAGACATACAGGGTATGTGGCAACCACTTAAAACTGTTTTTGAAGGTCAAGCCTGTACTGAAATTGTAGACTTCATCTCTAAATCCTTTTTGTCCAGAAATGGAGATCTCCTTTTCAGTTGTTTGTTCAAAACGGGAAAAATATTTCTCTAGAAATGTTTACTGTACAGTTGTTGTTGTTGTTTTTTGGCATTCCACTCCTTAGAACTGAAATGTTCTGGAGTAAAGACCTGGTAGATTTCTAGCTGATCCTCTTCAAGGAATCTCAGACGCCACAGAAAGGAAGGAAGTCTCAAATGTAGAAGTGGGAACTGGAGGTTTCCGAGTCTTTGATTGAACTCTGTTTCTGGCAAAATTTGGGTAAGTTTACCTTTTGGGCTGCAACTCTCAGAATTCCCCAGTTTGGAGAATTTTGGGAACTATGGTCCAAAACACACACATATGTTTTCCAACGCTTTGGTCTTGGGAACAGAGGCACAGATTCAGTGCGTTATTGGGAGGATATTGTTTGTCAGTATTCCCAGCTTCTGTGCCCAGAGCTGGCTAGAGGATTTGTGAAAAGCAAGAGGTATTGGTTCGAACCTGTGTTTGGAGAGCAGGAATCTGGCAGATTATGGAGGCAGGCTAGCTAGAGAATGAGTCTACATTGTGAGTTTTTGTGGTATGTATATATATATATTAGAGAGCCTGCTCTGAGAGCAAGTGTGACCTGGGTCTGTGATTCCAAAGAATCGTGCTTTAAACAATATGGGTCAAATCCTGGTTGAGATATGCATCACTGGGTGGTGGAAGCAGACTTCCTTGCTGCTTTTTCCCGTGGCAATCTTTTTTGATGTGCACAGTAACTAAGCTTTGAAAACCTTTATTAATTTGGCCCCTTGGAAAAAAAATGTTGCTCTCATGGTCAGCCCCTTCTCCCACTTTAACAAGAATGTGGATAGCAATGTTTGACTGACCCATGTCACCAAACACATCTGGGTACAGCTAACCCAGTTTGCTCCCTGTTTACCTTCTCAAGTCTAAACCATGATCAGTCTAACCATGATCAGTCTTCTCAGTGCAATGCAGGTTTCAAGCGGTTGATCTCACTAGAACCTCTGAATTAGAAATCAGATTCAAATTAGCTTTCAAGCAGAACATGAGGAAAGAAAAGGAAACCAGCAGTTATGCTGGGGTAGGTATCTGGGGTTGGCTAAAGTTTGAGACACCACAAAAAAAAACACTGAAAATGGTCATTGAAGAATCTTACGCTAGTCTTCCATGGGACCTGTTCCTTGGTTAAGTGAATATAGGATTGTAACCTTAATTGTCATAGTTTGTTACAAGGAGAGAACTCTTAACTATCCTAAGCTAATACAGTACTCACATGCAAGCAGAACTTTAACGTGGTTCCGGAACACATACAAAGTACAAATCAGATAGCAAGACAGCAGACAAGCACAGCATTAGGGAGGCTAGGCAAAATAAAGCAAACTTAATAAGGAACGCAAAACCAGACCAAAAGCAAATAAAAATGTCTCTGTATTCTCACTCTCATGTCTGGTGAAGTGGACATGTTCCACAAAAGGTCACATTAAAAGATAGCAGTTGGTTTTTAAGATGTCACACAATGCCTTTATCTTCTTTAATTCTATATTTTTTTTTGCTTTGGTTTGGTTTTGTGTTCCCTGTTGATAAAACTTTGAAAACTACAGTTTTGTTAAAATAGCTTGGACCAGGAGTGAGTTATGGCCTTGTAAATTTATTCTCACGGAGATAAGACACAGATGGCATGGCCTTCCAATTAATAGGCATTTTCTCCCCTCTCTTTCAGCCTGCTCAATCTAGGCACAAACTAACCGGCTTGTGTTTCAAAGAGTATCTTAATTGTCACCCCCCATTTTCGAGTTTCTTAACAGAAATAGATACAGTACTTCATTTTGGCTGGGACTTGGGAATGAGGCCAGGAAATAGTGTGCGTGTTGGAGGTGCGGAGAGGACTTGAAATCTAGGGATTTGGAATTGTTTTGGAATACAGCTTTCCATTTTGAGGCTCTGAAATCAAGTTCTGTAACTTCCAAGCATGGCAGAATTCTGTCATGTTTGAAAGATAGGACACGGCGGTTTTGTAAATGCATTTTATGCAAGATAAACACAGGACTATAGGCACGAAGGAAATAGTTCTGCCATTACTCTCCAGCCTTCTTTCTTTTAAACTGCAAATGTGGCCTCCAGGGGTAGGTGGACTACAACTTCAATGATAAATGTCTTTTTTGGCTACACTGGCTAGTTGAAGGCTCCACGTTCCTCACCCTGCTCTTAAGGTGTAAGCGTTTTCGTTTTGTCAAGCAACGCTGCAGCAGGAAGAAATCCTGCATGTCAATTGTCCTGTGCGACACGCGCACACGCGTGCGTTTTGCCACCACATCGCTGGCACTGGGGCGCTGCCAGCTGTGGGTTTGCCATGATCCGAACGCAAACTAGTCTGCGAGCATCTTGTTGCGCACACTCCCCATTTCCTTGCATGGCTGCAATGTCCATGTGGGAGCTTTGCCATGTTTTTAATGTGGGCTCTGAGACATTCCTTCATGATTACGCAAGGCGCTTAGCAGCGGTAGCTGTCGACTATTGTGTATTTTAGCAATAATATGTTAATATTGTTTATTTCTTTTATAAACTTTTTTTTACATTTTTGATTTGACATTGTAACTTTCTCTGTCTATAAAGGCTGTTCCTCATCCCAAGCCTTGTGTATGTGCATTTATATGGGAGGAAGTGTGAATACACTTTTCAACAACACTGGGGTTGGTGCGCTGGACCCGTGTGGTTCAAAATCAATAAAATCAACGTACAGTATAATTCTTATGCCCCCCCAATACAACTACAAGGTATGAACAGTTGATTCTCTCTCTCTCTCTCTCTCTCTTTCACACACACACACACACACACACACACACACGCCACGCATGCATGCACAGAGAGAACAGTTCTTCCTATCTGGGCTCTCTTCCATAGAGTTGACAATCCATTCCACAAAGTACCGTGTGCAGTGGGCCTTAATTAATTAACTAATTGATTACCTGATTAAAGCATCAGATATTGGTATGCAAAGCACTCTTTCCAAAAGTGTAATGTGCATGTTTGAATACCTTGGTTGATATCTGAATACAGTAACTGGTTCCCAACCTTTTCAGCATCGCACCCCCTTTTCGATTTTTGACCACCTCTCCCACTTCCCCACAACAAGTGCTTCTGATTCAATATATTATTTTGATTTGCTTCATGGTGTCTTAGTATCATCATGACTTCCCTTGCTGCTGTTGCTGGTGAAAAAGGCGGCTGGCAGTTCCCTTGAGCCCCAGTTGTGAAAGAAGGGGAAGAAATAAATCTGATAAAACGCATTAGCAGGGGCCATTCCCTCCTGGGATGTGAGATGAGGATGGCCAGTTTTTGGGAGACCGGGAGGAAAAAAATCCAATAAATGTACCAGCAAATGCAATTCCTCCTGGCCTGGGATGGAAAACTGAGATGCCAATTTTTATTTTTTTTTTGCATCTGGAAGCCCTCGGGCCGAGAAAGGATGAACAGGTTGGGTGACCCCCGCCCCGTCTCTTCCAAGGGATCATCATCAAGACACCTGCAGGACCAACTCATGGGGGGGGGGAATCTCTCATCCATCGATCAGGACCCTCGGAATGTCATCGACGTTGGTAACGATCGAGCTGGGGGGGGAGCGCTCCGATCTGCCCCCCCTTCTTGGGGAGTCCCAGGAGGCCCCCCAACCCGGAGCGTTGCGTCCTTTACTTGGGAGGAAAGGCCTCGGGGTGGTGGTCTGCAAGGCGGGGGGGTTGAACGTTCCTGCTCTACTCCAAAATGACCTACCTCTTTTCCATAAGTGCACTGTAGGTGCTGTTTTTTCAGAAGAAACAGCGTAGCTCCTGGAAGAATGGATTGCTTGCCAACATCTTCACCAGATCCATAAGAAAACGCCAACATTCATTGCTGAAACACAGAGGCTCTCTACAGAACCAATGGTAACAATCCTATCTTGTACACCTGCAGTACATATACAACCCAAACAACTCTTAGCGGGAAACATACTTGTTTGGCCCTTCAGGGTTGTTTGGGGAACATCTGGTCATTGGAATTGTAGATTCGTAAACTAGGGTGGTCCACGATAACAGTGGAATGGAGATCCCACTTGTAAATGCCCGGCTAAGGTGCCATCACCCTCTTGGACCTCCGATCAATGGTATCCCTAAGCAATATGGTACTCACTTAACCATGCAAATTGCCAATATCCACCGCACAGGGTCGGGAGAGGACCCAGGAGTCCGAGTCAGCCCCCCCTTTTCCAGCCCCCTCCCTTCTTCTCCTTCTTTTTTGCATCTCCTGCTTTCTAGCCATAGAAAGGCTAAAGGGGGGTGGGTGGATCCCGGCATTTAATCTGAACCAAGGGCCCCGCCCCCTTTCCTCCCCATGGCCGAGGAGGGCGGGGGGAACCCAGGCGTCCTGGCTCCTTAGCCCCGCCCCACTCATG